TACTACGTTACGTAACGTACGACTAACTAACTAAAACTAAATAAATAAACTAAGTAACTAATAACTAAACTAATACGTACTACGTAACGTAACGTACGTATTTTGGTCAATTTATATTTTGCGAATTTTTTTTTTCATATTTTTATTAGGCGCATCACTAAGATGTACACACGTTCCAAATTTCAGATCATTCCGATTAGTAAAAAAAAGAAAAGAAAATTGAACCACTGTTAGACAACTGTGATCGTGTCATGAAGTTTGGATGGTGATGAGGGTAGGCGAAATCACTGTTCATTTTCGCCTATAGGGGTTTTGTAGTATCTTCCATATATATATATATATATATGTATAGTAAAAAGTTTCGATAGAGCGAGGCTCTAAACAATCAAATTAGAGCCCACCTCAAAAATTTTACTAGAAGAGGTTGTGTTTGATGCTTAAATATCCTCAAATGATTATCTCGACATTGAGATGCATGGACATGAGAAAAAAATGGATTTCAGGTTTTGGAAATAGTGTGCATCTTGTAACGCATTTTTGGAACGTCAATTTTCAAGATTTTTAAGTTTTCATAGATCTGCTCTATCTACACTATTTTTGAAGCTTTAAATTTTATAATTAAAGATGAAAATATATTTTAAGGCTATCACAAGAATTTTCAGTATTGAAACCATATTTCTTGACACTATTTGAAAGTTTTTTTTACTTTGATTGTTTAGTGCCTTGGTTCTGTACAAACCACACCTATATCTATATGTATATATATATATTAAAACTTTAGAAGAATATGAAAATGCTAAGAAAAATGCTAAACAAATAGTAAGTGAAAATTAAGGCATATGATAATCTAAGAATAAATTGAGAACAAGAGAAGGTGAAACAGATGGCTTCAAATTAGCAAAAATAAAAGAGAAAAGGTGTAGGGATCTAAACTATATTAAATGCATTAAAAGTGAAGATCAAAAGGTCTTGGTGAAGGATGAAATGACCAACAAAAGGTGGAGAGTTTATTTTAAAAAATTATGAACACAATGGGAACATAGCGATAAAAAGAACTGTTTGTATAAATGGTAACAGAGGTCATAGATACATTCGTAGGATTAGGATGTCAGAAGTGAAAGAAGCTTTGAAAAGGATGAAGATTGGAAAGGCTTTAGAACTAGAGGTATCCCGATAATGGTTTGGAAGTGCATGGGGGAGATTGGCATTGATTGATTGATGAAGCTATTCAACAAAGTGCTTAGAACAAAGAAAATGCCAGACGAATGGAAGAAAAGTATTGTGGTACCTTTTACAAGATCAAAGGAGACATACAAAATTGTGTGAACTATTGAGGGATCAAGCTTATGAGCCATACTATGAAGCTTTAGGAGAGAGTGGCTGAGCAACGACTAAAGCCTGAAACGAGTGTATCTGAAAAGCAATGTGGTTTTATGCCAGGAAGGTTAACAACCGGGGCTATTTTCCTATTTAAGCAACTAATTGAGAAGTTTAGGGCGAAGGGAAAAGACCTCCACATGGTCTATATTGACATAGAGAAAACTTATGATAGAGTGCCTCGAGATTTGATTTGGAGAGTGATGGAAAAGAAAGGAGTCTCCAGATACTACATCGACTTTGTGAGAGATATGTACGATAGTGCACCAACTAATGTGCGAACAACTAGTGGAGAGGAGTGAGTTTTCAGTGACAATAGGTCTACATAAAGGGTCATCATTGAGCCCGTCCGTCTTTGTCTTAATTATGGACGACTTAACTAGGCCCCTGCAGGATGAGGTACCGTGGTGCATGTTGTTCGCAAATGACATAGTTTTGATTGATGAGACCTGAAACGACGTCAACAAAAAGTTACAACTTTGGAGGGATGCTCTAGAATACCTAGGTTTTAAAATTAGCCAAGCCGGACTAAGACACAGTATATGGAATGCAAGTTTAGTAGTAAATAGGAGTAGAGACGAGGAGGTAGTTAAGATTGACGACCAGGAAATGCAAAAAAGACCACACTTTCGATACTTTGTGTTGATAATCTAGGAAAATGGAAAGATTGAAGAAGATGTCACACATATAATTAGAGCTGGGTGGGCAAAGTGGAGATGTGCGATTGGAATTTTATTTGATTGCCACATACCAATGAAGTTGAAGTGTAAGTTCTATAGGATAACTGTGAGACCCGCTTGCTTTATACAGAATGTTGGGCGAACAAAAAACAATGTACTCATAAAATGAGTATAGTGGAGATGAAGATGTTGAGATGGATGAGTGGCAAGGCAAGAAGGGGTAGAATCCAAAATGAATCCATTCGGAAAAGTTTGGCGTGGCACCAATAGGCGATAAGATGAGAAAGACTAGATTTAGGTGGATTGGCTATGTGTGGCGTCGATCCAAAACAACACCTGTTAGGAGGTGCAAGTTACTTTAAGTGGAGGATTGAAAAGAGAAAAGGGTAGGCCCAAAAAGATATGGTCGTAAGTAGTCCAAAAACATATGGGGACTTATAGCCTCACTGAGGGTATGGTCTTAAATAGAGCAGAATGGTGGATTGAGATTCTTGTAGCCGACCCCAATTAATTGGGGTAAGGCTATAATGATGAAATGATGATGATGAGATGATGATGATGAGATGATGATGATGATGATGATATATATATATATGGGAAATGCTATGGTTAGCCCACTAGCTCACAGCTACATATGAGCCCAATGGCTCAAATTAAATCTGGGTGGGATCTGACGGTCACATCCTCATTTCATACTTGATTTTTAATTTTTTTTTTGCAAATTCAAATTACATGAAATTTTAAGTATCCATTCTTCTCATCAACGCGCACCAAATAAAAAATATTGACAAAATAATTTGCAAAATAATAGGAAAACTAGGCCTGTAGCTTAAACTAGAATGTACTATCCTAGACCTACCCCGATAGACCTTCAAATTGAAGAAGACCTGATTTCTAGTTCAGTTTCATATTTTGGGAAGTCTATAGTAAATTGGAACATAGACGAGTTTTTTGAGGTATAAGTGCTTGATTTGATGAAGCATATGACTATGTATGCACAACATGTAAAGCTAGTGGTAATAAGGACAACGAGATTGCTAAGGCTATCGTGTGTGGATTTACTGGCTGGCTTCGAGGATGGTGGGATTTCCACTTGGATGAATCCGTCAGAAATCAGATATTAAATACTACTAAAAAATGGGTTGTTAAAACATAAATAGGCCCAGGACAAATTCCGGAAACTTTAGTAGATGAAGGAGATGCAGTAAATAATTTGGTTTATAGAATTACACTCCACTTTGTGGGTAGTAATGCTCTCTTAACAGCTAGATCAGAAGATTGATTATCAAATCTTCGTTGTCCAACCCTATCTCGTGTTACATTTTAAATGGTATAAAGATGTCTGTTATTCATGACTTTTATCAAGAGAAGACAGTAAAGCAAAATCATTGGAAGGAGAAGTTTATTTCAGGACTTCCAAATCTCTTTGCTGAAAAGGTTAACACCAGGCTTAAGAATAAGCATAATGGTATTATACCCTATTCACAATATACACATGGAGAACTATCGGCAAAAATTTGCGTCGAAGGACTAGCCCTTTGCACAGATCTCAAGCTTCGAGGGAAATTAGACAAGCAGAGGATGACATGCAAAAAGGAGCTCGGAGATTTTTGAGAACAGTTAAGTTATAACACTCTCTTGCCATCTAGTTCACAACATAAAGAAAAATCTCGGAAAAATGAGAAGTATAAATCATCTTCGAAATAAGATCAGTCTTCTAAATGAAAATTTTATAAGAAGTTTGTAAAAGATCAATCATTTAAACAGAAGGGAAAAAGAAAAATACTTGTTTGTTTTAATTATGGCAAAGTAGGACATTATAAGACTAAATGCAGAGTCAAGAAGAAAATTAATGTTCTGATGCCAAAATAAGGCGAAAGCACGGACGGAACGTAACAATGCACACACAGCAGCACAATCTAATATAATAGAAGCAAAACAACACTTTTTTGTGGCTCTTTCAGATCCAAACCTCTTAAAAGTTTTAACTCTGAATCTAAAGACCCTAGGGTTTGATATGGATTCAGGATCCCAAACCTTGCTTTTGTTTATAGGATTTGTTATAAGGTTATAAATACCTTATGCCCCAATGCTAGACAAATGGATACAAAGGGACAAACCGTGTTTTTTCAAACAAATATTGGAAATCTAATCTGGTGATACCTAAAATGGTGTCATGGGACCAAATTACCTTACTTGAATGGTGGTCTCTCCATTTTGAAACTCATCCAAGAGTTTTAGAAAATAGAGAGCCTGAGCAAATAGTTGAATACCT